CGTCCTTTCTCCCCTCGACGTTGCTGCATGTGCGGTTCTTTGTGTCCAAAGTAATCTTTCGGTTTCTCTAACGTGGATGCTTTGCCCAACTTGAACCTACGGCTCACATTTATGACAGCTGAGATGGACACACAGTCTTCTAGTATACAGACACCGTGTAGAAAACTGAATCTATAAGCACGCTGTTGCTATGATTTTAATACCACGTCCCTTTTAATTGCTATATCACCGGGCCTAACAGTCGAGATTGTCGAATTATTCACACCTGAAAAATAAGATTAACAATGAGAATCGTCTATGACACGCGTAATTCTTCAACCTCCTGAAGTTCTGTTTCAAGACGTACTTTAAGTTCTGTGGAACAACCTATGAGCAAGCTTAGGGCACATTCGTGGGTTTATTACTTTTCGAGATGGTTTTGCAGCGCTTGCAGTCGCTGGTTTTCCAACACCGCAGGCAGAAATTCTGAGGTCGCTAAGTGGATAATACGTTCATCCTAGTTGAACGGGATCAGATGGTAACATTAAATAAACGTATCTATGTCGTCTTTTTGGACCTTCACTTTACGATGGAGAAGGAATTTAACAAACAAGAGGATTTTTTAATGTCCTCGTTTGTCATAGAGTTACCGGTGGCCTAAAGACTAATGTGATTAAGAAAGAGACAAGCACTACACAAATACTGGACTCCGACAGAAAACGACAGATCAGTCACAAAGTGAGTTCCGTAAGGGCACTATACCGGCGTGTTGAGATGCATTGCACTAAAACGAGAGAAAGGTTATCTGATAAAAATATGTTCAACCGCTACTGAGGGCAACTGACTAATCGCGCAAATTTGGCAAACAGTGTGTACGCAAAATTAGGATACTAAGGGTAGTTACTGTATCCCAGCCAGTACCCATGGTCTGCAATTCGTCTATGGTTGACCTAGCATGTCATCATCAAGCCTTTGTCCTTCACTTCGTGAGGCTTGTGGCGCAGAATCTGGTATTAACGGAGGACTTGATGACTAATATTGACTAAGCACGACTCGAGTACGGTTCGAGTTTTTTTCAATAATCGTTTGCTAAATGAACAATGGGCCAGGATGGCAGAAACTTCAGCTCATTGATAAATGTCTTGCAGTTGTCTAATACAAAACTGTATCTAGTAGATGCTTCATTCCGCCAAACAAAAAGAATACGATTTTTAAAGAACCTACTATATTTCGGTTCGGAAACCAGTGGAGGTTAACTGGATTCAAGCGAAGCGTTTTACCTCCAAAACAAACATCATCATACATCTTGATCATGGCAGATTCGGGGAAAAACCCTTTGTATTTGTCATACCAGAACTGGAAAGAGAAGGGGTGTGAAGAAAAGGCGAAAAATACCTGCAATAACGTAAACAACTTTAGACGTACGACTTCATCGTACCGGTTAATGTAAGTCTGGTCAATTAGGGCTTCACGGAATGGTTCCAAAGTCTCCTGATCGTTTAATTTTGCCATAAATGTTTCTGTGCAATGAACCGCACACATCTGAAGAATATTAAGCAACCAATGGGCGATTCGGGGGTCCTCTGAGCCTTCCCTTTTGAAACGTTTCATTATGAGATTTATGAATCGCTGAATGTCAGCCGACGAGACTCGGAGCATGTAATCTCTGATCCTGGCGAACCACACAGCTCGATACTGGTTTTCTTTTCTGAGAGCATTATCTATTTAAAAAAAGAAAAGTGCAACATAAAACGGCAGGAAATCCACAGAAAATACAGATGGCATACGTCAATTTGCACTCTGCATTTAAAGTGGGGTTTTTCGCATAATCAAAAACTGGGATAAGTGAACGTCTGAAAACAGTGTGTACGCAAAATGAGGGTACTGGGGGTAGTTTCTGTATCCCAGCCAGTACCCGTGGTCTGCAATTCGTCTATGGTTGACCTAGCATGTCAGGTCTATCGTCGGAGCTTTCGATTTACTTGCAAAATTCTAGATTGCCTGCAAACATGGCTTCCTTACATGTGGGGCAGTCCAAGCAGTCCTCTAGCAATGTCCTAGCTATGCCAGCACAGCCCAGGATTGCCGCGTTAAACTTTCGTGGCCGTAGTCGGGAATTCC